TTTTTTTTTTTTTTTTTTTTTGGTATTATTCTTTTTCTTTTCACTATTTAAATTTGTATTGCCGTTGTGTTGATTTTTTTATCGCTTTTATTTTTCGTATCCCTATTCGTTATAAATTCTCGTTATAATTATAATAGATAACTAGATAATAAATTTATGAAATCATCATTAAATCTTTAAAGCAAGTAATCTAATACTTTATCATAGAATGAATCGATCGAAAGAATAACCGGTTGAAATTTTAAGAAGCTTGCCTTGTGCTCGATCTGGAATCAATGTTTCTCCAGCTTGTTTCAATTTATTGTCAAGCACAACGGGTGTGAGTCATGTCTCAGCAAAACTGTTAACGTGCGCGCGCGCGCGCGCGTGTGTATGTGTCGTGTATGTGTACGTGTATGTTATCGGCGGCATAAGTTTGCGAACTCCGTAAACAAAACGTGCTCCCTAACAAGAGAACGCGCGACGCCACGGTGGAACGACTTCCTATCATTGTGACGTAGTTCCCAATCAGCTGATGCTTGGTCAGTCGTTCATCTTTGATGACTAGCTTTCAGCTAACTATGCGAAACTGGTCTCCGACGATGTAAATCCCGCTCGATATTTACAATATTAATTTCAGTTCGATCAATTTGTTTAATTTCATTTTCTAGATCTATTAGATTAATTTCCAAATAAAAGTCTTATATTGGTTTAACATATTTTGCCCTATAAGTTCTAAAAATTTGCTAAAAAGATTAGAATCGTAAGAAATATTATATAAATATTTATTAAAGATAAGAAAAATCAGAAAAATAAGGAAAATAAAGTAGTTGAGAAATAATTAAAGAAGTATAATTTTTCGTAGATAAGATAAATACGTCAATATTTGTATTTCTTTGTTACGTAGCGATTTGGTGTGATTGGTCAATTGATGCTGGAAACAATATCGATTATAGACTAAAAGATTTTATGCCATGTTACTTTATCGTTGAACTAAGGGAGTGGATTTTGTCCTTCATCGAGTACATTCGACTATTTTTAAACATTTGATATGACGTATGTAGAAAATGAGTACAAAGAACAAAGACCAGAGGAATAAAAGAGCATCGATTCAGATCGTGGAACGTGTCCAAACAGGTTTGAACAAGCTCTTTCATAGCTTTAAATCAGCGTACGAGGTGGTAATACGAAAAATCGATTGAGACTGAGAAATTTGAATCGACCGTTACAAAACTCCAATAATATTTTTCCTCTCTATATAAATTTTTACATTTAAATTCGAAATTAGAAATTTTTAATTCTCGATAAATTTTTATGCGCAAGGTGTCGTAACACGAGTATACGTCCATAATGGTGGGGTAGGCGCCTACTGTTAGGACTCACAAGTGAGAAGTTAGGTTAGGTTTGCATTACGAAGCTTGATAATGCAAGTAAGCGATATAGGCATTTCGAGAATAAAATTATATGCTTTCGTTAAATGTATAATTCATTCCATTGTATTTTAATTATTTATGTAAATACGATAAATGAAACGATCTTTTTTTAAATTCAATTTCTACGCGTAATATAAATCGATGTATCCTTCTTAAACGACTACTTTATTCGTTTTCCTAATATGAAATGTACAGATTTCTTCTTACCTTCACGGACCAAGGTTTTTGAAATGCCTTGACACAGAAGTATCAGTATTGCCTTGAATTAATTTCAGCAATAAATCGATACCTCGTTTGTGCAACTGTGACAATTTTCAAATGTAACCGCAATTGGTTAGACTTCGTTGTAGAATTTGTAACCAAACATGGAAATCTTTCTTGGAGCCGTGTTGCGACGACGCGATGACATAATTTCTTCACGTCCGAAAAGATTCGTGAATTGTCGTATAGCTTTTCACTAGGAACACTGCACCTTTGATTCAATTCGCATTACATGACCATGTCAACGAGACACCCTTTACAATTTTTTTGTCAAAAAGAGAAGAAACAAAAAAGGATAGCGATTATTAGACGTTCAGACCGTTACACAATTTACTTTTTGGAGCGAAGAGTAAAAGACGTAGGCAAAGATAATATCGTATTGAGTGGAGAGAGAGAGAGGATAAAATTAAATTGAATTATAAATTGACAAACAGAATCGAATAATCCTGAGTTAACGATGGCGAGAATCCAGGCGTAACTGAATTTTTGTTCACACTATTTTCTCGTCTTTCCATTACTGAGAATTTAAATACTCACATGACAAGTCGCGAGACGATCGAAGATATCATATTAACGGTTTTTAACGTTATACAAGTAACGCGCGATCGAAAGAAACGAGCAATTAATGCGGACGGCCGTTTGTAACACCACTGCTCACAGGTCAACCATGTTGGACTGGCAGCTGGCTGCTGCTGCGCGTGTGACGTCACGTCGTGTTTTCGTCACGTGACTGCAGGGCTGTATAAACGTTAGGTATTTTTAAATATCGTTAGAAAATTATTAACTTATTTTGATGTAGAAATTAAATATTTAACATTATTTTAATAGTGACATTAAAAATCAAGATAAAACATTATAATTAATAAGATTCATACATATATATGATGGTTTAGTTTTAAACTATTAAGTTTTAAATGATATATAAATATGAATGAAGTGATTTTATTTAATTTAATATCAATTTTTAGTTCAAAATTATCATTATATATATAAATTAAAAACGAGCAGTTATAAATACGATACGAGCAATTTATTATCATCGGAAAATTTTATATTGAGATTTTTATACATTACGTTACCGTTCTTATATAATAGAATATTGCATAAATAAACAATACATAGTAAAAAAAATAATAAATTCGTCTAAACTACGAATAAAGTACAGAATTCATTATTAACAAAAAATAATTTTTAACACGTTAAAAATTAAAACATATTTATAGAAACAAGAAAATATCAAACTCATTAAATACATTTTATTTTAATTGTTTTAATATAAATTTGTTAAATGTATACAATTTATACAATATATACGAAAATTCTATTTTTTTTTTTTTTTTTTTTGATATTTTTTAAAAACAATTTCTTCTAAGACACAAGACTTTTATCTTTTAATAATACATATATCTATATATACTATATCTTAATATATTACGAAACATTATTATTATATTTATCATACGTACATTTATCATTCTTTTTGTATATTTATTTTAAATATAAAGCATAGTTAAAATTATGCCACTCATCGAATAAAGAGATACATCCAAATGAATTTCTAATGTAAAGCGGTTTCCAGACCACTGGCCCTGCACCAACAAATAAATCGAGCGGCAAAGATCGATGAGAGAGCAATTTTTTTGTAATAAGAATAGCGATGCGTGTCGCGACTGATAATAATAGACTACATGCACCTTGATTCATTTTTTATTTAAAAAAAAAAAAAAAAAGGTATATTTTACAAGGACATAATCAAACGAACATAAGAAAGTTTTAAAGAATCGTAGGTACTCTTTTCTTATTTATATTCTTTATACCAAAATTATATTTATAAAATTGAATAGCAAGAGAAGAAGGCGCCTGGTCTCCAGATCCTGTCCCCGTAATACGATCCTTGAATCGACATTTCATCCCATCCCACCAAGAATTGCGGCCCCTTGTATTTCTTCAGAGTTGGTGTTACGGCCCTAGAGTTCCTCACCCCACGCTCGTGCCATAGGTTGCAGCAATGCAAGAGAACGACCACTGTGATGGTGGTAAGACGAAGAGAAAAGAGGTGAGAAGAGAAGAAGAAGAGATAAAAGGAAAGAGTAGAGAGGAGAAGAACAGATAAGAGAAAAGAGCAGGGAGGAGAAGAGGAGGAAAGATGAGACGAGATGAGAGAAGACGAGATGAAACGAGAAGAGAAGAGAAAAGAAGCGAAGAAAGCAGAAAAGATGAGTGGATGGCAACGAGAGAGAA